AACAACAATTATAATTCCAAGTAATATAATTAAAACTGGGTTTTAGCTGACAGTATGAGTAATAGAGAAAAGCAGAGCTCTCAGTCCATGGTTCTAGTAGGCAGGGAGCTTCCTTGGATGGAATGAATCTATTGGCAGGCAGGAACCGAAGTCTCTCCCCATGTAAGAAGTCAAAGGAAAACACAATCAAAGTTCAGATACAACTTGAAGAAGAAGGGGAAAAAAACTTATACCTCTATTGTTGTTGTTATGTGCCATTGAGTCACTGGTGACTCACAGAAACCCTATGTACAACAGCCCTAAACCCTGCTCTGTCCTGTGCCAGTCTCACTGTCTCTGACACACCCACCCCCATTACTCCAGTCCCTGAATCACTCCACCTCATAGAGGGTCTTCCTCTCCTGCGCTGTCCCTCCACCCTCCTAAGCATGATGTCCCTCTCCAAGGACTGGTCCCTCCTTTCAACATGTCCAAAGTATGTCAAACGAAGCTTCAGAATCCTTGCCTCCAAGGAGCAGCCTGGTTTAACCCTCTCAAGGATGAGCCTGTTCATTTTCTTAGTAGTTCATGGTATATTCAATACACTTTTCCAGAACCACAGCTGAAAAACATCAATTCTCCTATCCTCCCTAGTCATTGTCCAGTTTTAGAGAAAAAAAAAACACACACACCAAAAATCTGATTTTTTTTTTTAAGTAGTTGAGTCAATAAAAGTTCTTGGATTGTCAGACATAAAAGTTTTCACCTGGTATTCAAAATTGATGTGACATTCTGAAAGATTAGATCAATAGGAGTACATGGCTAACAAAAGGCCAGAAAAATTTTATGCAAAAAGAGCAAAAATTTAAGAGCCAGTTTTAGAAGTCACATGATAGGGTTTGAAAAGAAAACTATATAAGCGAAACTTGTTACTAATACAGGTTTTACAACTTGAAAACCAGACTGCCCTTAACGTAACACCTCAGAAGAGTTTCAATTTTACCAGTCCCTAAAGAAATTTCTGCAGGAAAAACCAAACGAAACCTTCATGTGTGTATTTAAGACAAAAACATACCTGCTTCGTCATAGGACACAGTCAATTTTTCCAGCATTTCTCGGTCAATTGATAGAATCTGCTGTTCCAGGATGATTTGGTAAGATAATACGCTATTTTCTTTGTCTTTCTCATAGTCCTGAAGATGCTGTTTCAGAGCCTCTGGGAGTCTAGATTTTACATATTCAGCAGCAGTCTGCAGATAAAACAGGCAAAGAACACCATTAGCTTGTCTCATTGCGGGCCTTTCACTCATTCCCAGATGCCTCAGGAAGAACGCAAAGGACTGCAAAATCAATCCTCTAGATAAGAATGTCCTTGTTACTGCCATTTTTAGACTCCACTGTATTCTGAAAGGTGTTACTGTTGATTGCCTTTGAGTTGAGTATGACTCATAGCAACCCTATGAACAAAAGCCCCTCTACAACTGTGGACATTTATGAAGGTTCATAGAGTTTCCAGAGGCATGTTATTTAGGAAGTGGATGCCACTCCTGCTTCCAAACCTGTCACAGTATGTTATTGTTGTTATGTGCCATTGAGTCACTTGTAATGTATAGCGACCCTGTGTACAGCAGCTCTAAACCCCTCCTGTCCTTAGCCAGTCTCACTAATTCTGATACCCCCCTCCCCCTCACTGTATCAATCCATCTCATGCGGGGTTTTCCTCTCCTGTTCTGTCCATCCACCCTTCTGACCATGATGTCCTTCTCCAAGGCCACTGTCCACTGTCTCTCCTGGCCACTGTCCAAAGTAAGTGAGGCTGAGCTTCAAAATTCTAGCCTCCAAGGAGAGACAATATATATACTATTTTAAATATTAGTATTTATGATATATTGTATCTATCTATTATCTATCTATCTATCTATCTATCTATCTATCTATCTATCTATCTATCTATCTAAAACACATTAATCATAGAACAGAGCTCAGGTCTTTTGTTCATAGGGTCACTATGTATTCGATTTGACTTGATGACATTTAAACACTGCGGAAGGAGGAGTGGCATCCACTTCCATAATAGCTTGCCTCCGGAAACCCTATGAACCTGGAGAGAGGAAGAAAGGCATCCAAGCGTCGAGGACTCTCCTTCATAGGGTTGCTATGAGTCACCTGTGACTCGACGGCACTTAACAACAACAAGTGAAACTAGGGTTGCTATATTTTGGAGGAACATTCTTCTACTTTGTACATCACTCTGTCAATTTGCTATACTGAGGTAATCTGGGTTTGCTGGAATACTGAACCTTGGCCACTGGGGAATCAAATACCATTATGGTTTACTTATGTGGACAGTGTTTAGCGGAGCTCTCAGTTTGTAGACAGGTTTGGAAGAAGGAATGGCACCCATTTACTAAAAATTCTACGAACTTGGAGAAACTTATAGAAAGGCATTAGGGTTTTTGTTCAAGGATTGGCTAGGAGTTGCTATGAGTCGTGCTTGACTTGATGACAATCAACAATTATATATATATAATCTATCTTAACTTTTTCCTCTTACTTACTATGTACACAATCATCACATAATTGTCATCAAGTAATGTTCAACTCATGGTGTCCCGATGTATTTCTCAGTACAACTGCTCCACAAAGTTGCCAAGACTGCGATTTTTTTAGAAGTAGTAGATCACCAGACCTTGCCCTCAAGTGTGTCTGAGTATATTTGAACCATCAACCCTTCAGTTAGTAGATAAGCACTTAATTGTGTGCACCATCCAGGAACTACTATGAAATTACACTTCCTATTAGTAACATCTAAATTACGTGCAGCAATTTCAAACATGCTCCACTTGAGAATTAAGAAAGAAGGTAGATGTATTTTGAAAAAGACTTTCCTCGCATAACCACAAGAACATAAGATTGATTAATGGGATCGTCTGAAGATTAAGTTCCTGTATGCATCAAAATATTTTCCAAAAGGGTAAAAAAAACCCTACTGACTGGGAAGAAACATTTGGCAATGACATCTCTGACAAGGATCTCATAAAGTTTATAGAATCCTTCAGGGCCTCTATAAGAAAAAGACTGTTAACCCAATTACTAAATGGGCAAAAGACATGGAAAGACTTTTCACAGAGGAGGACATTCAGATGGTCAACAGACACATGAAGAAATACTCATAATCACTGACAATATGAGAGATTAAAATCAAAACCACAGTGAGATACAATCTCACCCCAGTAGCAATGACAAAGTTTAACAGGACAGCAAGTAATAAATGTAGGAGAGTATGTAGAGAGATAGGGATACTTATACATTATTGGTGGAATTATAAAATGGTACCACCACACTGGAAGGCAGTCTGATATTTCCTCAAGAAGCTGGACTTCTATATGAACCAGTTATTCAGGAATATATCCTGAGGAAAACAGACCTGAGAGACAAACAGAGATTTGTACAACCATGTTAATAGCAGCATTATTCACAATAGCAATAACATGTAAACAATCCAAATGTCCATCATCAAATGAATGGATTGAGAAACTGTATTTTCACACAATGGAATATTATACAGCATTAAGGAGCAACAAGTTTTTTTAAACCATTATAATAACATGGGAGAGGCTAGAGAGCATTTTGCTGAGTGAACTAACTCAGTCTCAAAAGGACTATATTGCATAAGACCTTTATTATAAAAACAAAAGGATAACTAGTAAGACATGTATAAATGTCCAAAGGGGGCAAAAGAATTGAGGGTGGGGAAGAGAGTAAATCAGGGAGTTGCAGATTTTGGTGGGTGGAGGAAGAGGGCAAAGGAATCAGGAAAGAGTCAGTGGGGATCTGAAAAGATGGGGCAACAGCAAGTATAGATTAATGGAGATTTTATAAGATACAATGTATAGATATGATCATATGAAACATAATGTGAACAGAAAAAACTCTAAACTTTAGAAAGATAAAATAATACTTAATTCAGTAGCCATCATGTTTTCCCATACAAACTTAAATATGATGACAACTGGAAATAAAAAGATTTACTAATTTCATGGGGTTGGAGGGGAGAGACCTGCCCAGGGCTTTGCATATATTCTTTGGTGAATTGAAGTGGGGGAATATTCTCTCTTCTGTTGAGAATCTCAGCTTTTATAAATTTTATGGAGGAAATTAAGTGATAGCATAGATGTGTGACTCAGGGGAATTCTGTGATCCAGAAGACATGTCTCTGGAGAACATCAAGAATTTTGTATTTCCTTGTAGTGAAGTCTTGCTTGAATCACTTAACTATTGTCTAAAGTTAATAGGCTAAAAAATAGAGACATAAATTTACTGTTTAAAAACATACACTTAACCACACAACAACTTTCCTTTCATTTCCATCAAGTCTGAATGACTAATTCCATTGTGTTTCTGAGGCTGTAGATGATGTGAGAAGGCGCTGTTCATCATTCTCTCTTGGAGCAGCTGGTAGATTTGAACAGAGGCACAGACTTTTGGGTTAACAGTGAAACTCCTGATGTTCCTACACACTACACCACTAAAGAATTCTGAGAGCACTAAAAAATGGAAACAAAATGAATTTAAGATAGATAACCCCTAGTGAGAATGATCGAATTTTGCAAAATCAATGACTTATTCATAGCAAATACATTTTTTAAGAGACATAAACGCAGGTTATATACCTGGATTTCACCTGATGGTATGCATAGGAATCAGAT